TTAATACAAATCTTGATTGTTTTGTAGGATAAGATTGCTCAAAATATAACATCTGAACAAGGAAAAACATTGAAAGATGCACGTAACGAAATGCTTCGTGGGCTTGGTGTGGATCTTTTCATTTATGTTTATGCAAATTCAGTTTATCAAACTTAAAACTTATGATAACTGGTAATAATTAATTAATTAATTAATTAATTTGTGTATGTGTAGAGGTGGTTGAACATGCTTGTGGGATGACAAGTCTCCAAATGGGAGAATTTGTTTCAAACATACGAAGTGGAGTTGATAGCTACAACATAAGGGAACCACTTGGTGTTTGTGCTGGAATTTGTCCTTCTAATTTTCCAGCATTAGTTCCATTATTGGTAATTAATTTACCTATTTGAAGTTTTTATTTAATATGTATTTATGTCTAATATGATATTTGATATGATGCAGATGTTTCCGATTGCAGTAGCATGTGGAAACACGTTTATTCTGAAGCCATCTGAGAAAGATCCAGGGGCATGCATGATACTAGCAGAATTAGCAATGGAGGCTGGCTTGCCAAATGGTGTACTAAATATAGTTCATGGAACCAATGTAAGCATACAGCCCTTTTCTCTCCCTTTTTTTTTTTTTTTTTAAAAAAGAGTTGTTGTTGTTGCCCAATAATAACTGATTATTTGCAGAATCTGCTTCCTTCGAATCTGTTAGTAGTACTTCTAGTTTTGAGAGTTGATTGATCAAATTGTTTGATCGGCCAGGACATTGTGAATGCTATATGTGATGACGATGATATCAAAGCTATAACATTTGTGGGCCCAGATTCTGTAAGTTTCATTTTTTATAGATATAATTATTTAGTTTAGGAGCCAGTTTAATGAATAGTTTAATTTTCATGTATTGTAGTCTGGTTCACACATACATGCAAGAGCATCTTCTAATGGCAAACGTGTTCAGGTAGTTTCATTTCTATAATATGGATTTTTTTTTTGTTATTATTATTGTTATTGATTTGGGTGTTTTTTTTTATCAGTCAAATATTGGTGCAAAAAACCATGCAATAGTGATGCCTGATGCACACATGGGTGCCACCTTGGATGCTCTTGCTGGTGCTGGATTTGGTGGTGCAGGGCAAAGGTGTTCATCATTGAGTTGTGTTGTATTTGTTGGAGGTTCAAAACCATGGTATTTTATTTTCTATTTACTATTTAGTTATATATATCTGGTCTGGAACAACAAATGTTTTATTAAATTATTAATGTTATAAAATTTCCTGTTTGGATGAATGTGGTACAGGGAAGAAAAACTTGTGGAGCGTGTGAAATCACTTAAAGTAAATGTGGGAACTGACCCTGATGCAGACCTTGGCCCTGTGATTAATAAAATTGTACGCATGTCTTGTCAATACTTTTTTGACAATATTTAAAAAAATAAATAAATAACTGTGATGTTTTTTTTTACAGGCAAAGGAAAAGGTAATCAGATTAATCCAAGTGGGTGTTGAAGTGGGTGCAAGATTAATTCTTGATGGAAGACATTTGGAGGTAGGTTGTTTATCTTCCATTCTATTTACATAAATAATCTATTAAAAATATTGATTTAATGAAATATTTTGTAGGTTCCAAAATATGAAATGGGAAATTTTGTTGGTCCCACCATCTTATCTGATGTTACTCAAGTCATGGAATGTTACAAGGTGATCGATCATATACTCATATTAATATATATATATATATATATATATATATATATTATTATACAGAATATATAATTTAAATAGTAACATTTTTTGTGTGATCAGGAGGAGATTACTGGGCCGGTTCTTCTGTGTATGCAGGCGGATAGCTTAGAGGAAGCCATAGCTATTGTGAACAGAAACAGGTAAAGTCGGAAACTTTATTAAAAAGAGTGAAAAATGTTTATTTATTTTCCAAAATGATTAATCAGATACGGATTCGGGGCTTCAATATACACGAAAAACGGTGCAACAGCGAGAAAATTCCAAACAGAAATAGAAGCGGGGCAGGTTGGTGTAAATGTCCCTGTCCCATCCCCACTGCCTTTCTTCTCGTTTACAGGAACAGAAGCATCTTTCTCAGGAGACCTAAACTTTCAAGGTAAGATTTTTTTTTTTTTTTACAAAATATAATAATTTAAAGGAATCGAAATGAATATATGTTTGTTTTGTAGGGAAATCGGGGGTTCAGTTTTATTCGCAGATTAAAACGGTGAGTCAGCAATGGAAGGATTTCAGGTGTAGTGATGAAGTTGGGGGGGGAGGGCTGCTTGAAATGCCTCCAACAACTTTTCAAACAACAGATGGAACTTCGTTGCTATTACCGACCCATAATTTTCCTGATTCGGATAGAGGAGGACCACTGGAATCGCCATCAGATCATCTTCAGTTGGACAATGGGCCAGAATTTGGAATGCAGCAGCATAACACGGGTGAAGGTGAAGCTGTGTCCCTGGGATTGCAGCTCAGGGATTTTCAAAACAGTGATGGAGGGGTGTCTCCTGCTTTGCTTATGTCTGATGGATCACAGGACCCCAAGTTCTTGACCCATTTTCTAAACTGGTAATTCATTCTTCTCATCTTTTTTTCTTTTTTTTTTTAATTAAATTGGTCTGAATGTTTTTTTTTTTTTTTTTTGGTTTCAGGAGCCGAAATGCACAGTAGGTTTTGAGCTTTGAGTAGTTGCGTGTAGTGGTGTAAAGGTGTATTTGATTATAGTCCATGTGATGTGAAGTAAGAAATGGAGCTCATGGTACTTGGAAGAAAATACTCATGGAAGCTCTCCTCTCAATCAACTAGTTAAATTTCCTATACTTGTCTTGTGTAGTGACACTGGTTTTATATGTGATTATGTTGTTAAATGAATGGATGGATTTTGGTAAAGCTTCTTTCATGATACAAAAAAAAAAAAAAAAAAAAAAAACGGTTACGCCTCCTCATGCCCACAAAATCACGTAGTAACATTCGAATCCTAAGTTTTATTAGTCAAATAACTTCAAGATCAACTAAAAACCAAGTTATTGATTAAGGTCGACACTGGACAGGAATGTATAACTTTTTTAAAGGCTATTTATGTTGGGGTTTAAAGTCGACATCGTTCGTCTTACATGCTTTAATTGCAATATCCCACCAAATCTATCTACATTTTTCTTCTACTTTGACAACTCAATAGCCACAAGTTGTCTTTGCATCACTAAAATCTCCAACAAATAATGCATCGAAAAATTCAAGAAGAACTGCATCCATTACATTGGGATCATGTCAGAGTTGCAGATCCTTATTTGATGTTTGAGATGCATGAGGCCTTGAAGAGTAGTATTGTTTTTCATGCCCAACTACAAATAGAGAAACATGATAGATAGATGTTATTGTTAATGAAACCAATATTAATAATGATGGTGTTAATTGGAGTCATTCTCATGAGTGGGTGTGTAATGTTGACCAAAGTCCCTCTGGTGTTGGCATTGGCATAGATCTAGGTTGGTGTATTGGCTAGATTTGCAAGTTTGGTGTGTAGTCTTTTAGTTAATTTGTTGCTTTTGTTAGTCTTGGATCATATTGGCAGACAATGTTTTGGTTTGTTAGTCCTTTGGGATGGTATTGTATATGTTTTATAATGACAGTTGAAAATGGTAATGTTATTGGAGTAATATATTTGCATTATATTGATCATGGCAATTTACTAAATTATTTGGGCATTGATTGCAATATTCAAATTGGTTTTAATTATTAAGGTATTGGTTGCAATACGAAAACAATTATAAAGGACTGAAAGTACATACTTTTGCATAAAGGACCGATAATGGCAATGTACGTTTTAATAGACGATTAATAATGGCAACATACTTTTTCATAAAGGACAGATAATGGCAATGTACTTTTACACGCATACAACCTTTATTCCACCCATCCTTTAGTGCCTTGAAACAAACATAAAACCTTAGAAAAAATTTCATTTCATTTGGATTAGTAGTTACTCCAACTTTACATGTACTACATGGATTAAGCCTCAAAATGTTCTTGTATATAATCCCTCATTTTGGCGTAATGTTGTTGTAGTTTACCCTCAATCATTTATCTCATCCTAACATTTGCCTAATAGTATTGACCCTTTGAAACATAAATAGAAATTTTTTGAACATCTTTCATTTGGGTCAAAGTCATTTTTGGCTGGTTAATCATGTCTTTAACATAGTGCTCAGCAAACCAATTACAACTAACTAGATATCCACGGTTGTAGTTCCTAGCATGTGGGTGTGTCACCACCATGGGTTTAATTTGAAAAGAACGTTTATTATACATCCATGTTGTATACAAAGCCTCATTAATTGAAATGTCTCCCAATAACTAATAGCAAATGAAAAGAAGAAAAAAATTGCTATTTTTTTAGAATTTAAGCCTGAAATTTATGGCTTTTATGACATTTACCTTTGTATATATCTGACATGTTACGGGTAGATTGTTTGATTAACTAAATTTTATTCTTAAAAAGTATGTATACATGTGAATGAAATTGTTTGATTAACTAAATTTTATTCTTAAAAAGTATGTATACATGTGAATGAAAGCATTGCTATATCGTTAGTAGAAGGTTGTTTCGGATTGACTCACAAAAGACCGGATTGACTCACAAAAGACCGAACCTTAAATTTTACGTTTAACAAAAACCAAAAACCCAACCATCCATAATTGAACAGGCTCTTTCGGATCTTTAGAGAAACATGCTTTTCAATTTAGTAGCTTCTTTAATGTCAATGTAGGTATTTGTTGGTCGATCTATATTACTACAAATTATGTTGTGTCTTCAAGGTTGATAAGCTTATTTTTAATTGAATAATCAACTTCTATTTCAATAGCTTATTGTTTCAGGAAAATGATTTGTGCACAATAACTTTTTGTTACACACATTTTAAAGGATTTGTAAGTCTGTTATGCATGGCAAAAAGTTTGCATAAGGATCAGCTCATTCACATTTACTATCCAAATCATCATTAAACGAACAAATATCCAAAACAAGAACTAGTGCCAAATCAAAATTTGATTTTTAATGTTTACAATCATACCATAATTGCGAACATCAAAGTAAAAAAATACATCTACCGAAACATTTAAACCAAACTCTTAAAAAAAAAACCAAGTATCACTACATAACCAGGAAATCAAATTCAAGATAAAGCTTTTTCCTTAGAAGCCTGCAAATGCCTTCTTCCCAGTACTTCCAGAAGATCCAGCTGGAGTCACCTTCAACACATTGAACCTCACAGTCTTTGACAACGGTCTGCAACAACATATAAAAAAACAAAAACAAATTAAAATCATATATCAAATATAAGAATCAAATCAAAATTTAAATCAGGGGTTTATGTCTAAAATGTCACCTGCACTGTCCAATTGTGACTCGGTCACCTTCTTTCACACGAAAACATGGAGAAATGTGAGCTGGGGTGTTCGAGTGCCTCTTCTCATATCTATCAATCAAACAACACAGCATACAAATAAGAATGATTTAAATTTTGTTATGGATTTAAGGGTATATGATTTTAATAACAACAGATGGGTTTGGGTCTTCTTGCCTTTGGTATTTCTTCACATAATGGAAGTAGTCCCTACGAACGATAATGGTTTTCACCATTTTCGCACTGTGGCATGTTCCGGAAAGAATACGACCTCTAATGGAGACATCGCCAGTGAAAGGGCACTTCTTGTCAATGTAAGTTCCTAAAAATATCAAGTACATATTTAAGATCATCCTGTAAGTTATATATCTAACTGCTTCGATATTATTTGAAAAAAAAAAACAGATAGAAAATGTGTTTGATGAACGCTAATACCTTCAATAGCTTCTCTTGGAGTCTTAAACCCAAGACCAACACTCTTCCAGAATCTGTTTCCACCCTTCCCAGGCCTCTTCCCTTTCCCACTTTTCTTCGAACTAATACACAATTAAGAATACCAACATCATCTTCCATATGCAAATTAGCATAAATATAGAAAAAATAACTCAAAATTCGAGCACGAAAAGAGGCTAGTTTCTCACCATAGAAACACCTTGGGTTGCTTCAAAAACGCCTTCTCCGTCTATCAGGAAATAGAGAAAACAAAAAGGAAAGCAAAATGTCAAGATCTGTAGGAAACGAGATGAGCATAAAAGTCGAGAGTTGATAGATTAGATAACAACCTGTTCAGCCATTGTTGGTAAAGATCGGAGCTTTTCAGTGGCGGAAGCACAGGGAGAAAATAAGCGGAGGCAGATGTAAACCCTAGCAAGCTTATATATTTAATGAGGTTAAGTTGGGCCTTGTGGGCTTCTAATCAATAAATGACTCTAGTGAGCTGGGCTGGTGCTTTATGTCTAATTGTCTACTCACAATTGATGGAATGTAAAATTTGTCGTCCATGACTAAATTATATTGAGGGGGTAAAGATGATTGAAAATGGTGTTACATATTAAAAAAATAAAAAATAAAAAATAAAAAAAATCAAGATACCATAATAATAAAGAATGCCATTTTGTACATAAAGGAAATGTAGTTTAAACAATTTCTATTTAAAATCAATTAGGGAGTATGATATAGGATTATAAGTTTATAATCGACTAAACTGCACAAATGATCTTTGTGGTTTGCTCAAAATTATCACTTTGGTTCAAAAAAGTTTGGACAAGAACCATAGGTCCAAAATTTTCATTTTGTTGCGAGTTTGGTCCAAAACAGTTTAAAAATTCTTCAAATGACAAATTTGCCCATTTCTATTTGTTTTTTCCTTTTTTTCCTTTACTTTTATTTTATTATTTATTTATAAAGGCTCTCTCTCTCTCTCTCTCTCTCTCTCTCTCTCTCTCTCTCTCTCTCTCTCTCCATGTTTTTGTTTTAAAGAAAAACACAATGAAATCTTCATCAACAAAGATTTGTGTTCATTCATCCCTATTTCAACACTCCACAGATTTGGGGATTTTTGATTTATGATTTCAAAAAACTCACTAGTCACTAACAATGAAGTGTGGGAAAGGATTTGCTTCACAGTGATTACAGAATGTTGAGAAGCATACGTGAACTATAGTTATCTCAAAACACTCCTAAAAGAAATCTTAATTTTCCATTAGCGGCAGATCAGGTATCCTTCATCGTCAAATATGACATCGTTGAAGAGAAAGGTGTCGCTTTTCAGAGCCTTCAGCGGATTAACTAGTTGTTATGGTAACAATAGTCCTAGAAAATACGAAGAAGGATAGATATGGAGATCGAGGTCAACGGAGCCACAACAAACCCTAGCTTCGATTAGGGTTTCGTCGTCGTTGCTATAAAGATTCGATTAGGGTTTTTGTGACATCCCCATTTTCACGGCCAGAAAAGACCGATTTTGTTTATGCTTTATAAAAATCAGAGTACTTCTTTTAATAAAAATGTTGCGGAATTTGTTTCCAGAAAAACATGATAAATATTTTATCAAGGCATTTCCGAATAAATGTATTTTTATTTAAAACATTTGGGATGTCATGATCAATACAGAAACATAAGCATAAACAGAACTTACATTCATTTTCACTAGTGATTTATACCCCCTTAATCTCTCAGTGTAATGTAACTTCATATCGACACCTGTGATACAATAAGCTTGAGTGGGTCAGGTTGGGAAACCTGGTGAGTACATAGGGATTTCAATCCCACAATGTTATATCATATATATAATTTAGAACTCACAAAATATACAATTTCACCATATATATATAAGCAACTCTTACCCCCACCCCGTTAATCCTCACAACGAGACTGTCCATACTCTCGGACCTTAAATTTTACCTTTTACTTAGTCC